GATCGGGCCTAGCTGTTTGAGGTTTGCAGATTTGTACTAGCAAAAGGATTGGTAGTTTTGGTTGTAGTGCTGACAACATTCATATCGGATGGCTGTGAAGTTGTGCTTCCACTCGTGGTTTCATTGGAACTGCGTGTGAAAGGCCTCTTAGGCTGCTCATTCTCATCGGTTATCAACCCCTGTTTCATTACATCCTCAATCTGGACTCCTATTTCGTGGAGCTCAGTAAATATGAACAACGGCAAGACAATCATCTTCTGCAGTAATTTTCCTTGCAAATTACGGACCACCATCCTGATTTGGTCCTTCTCGGATGGCCTGGTAGTCATTATTGAAGCCTTGGCCCTCTACCAGATCACAAAGTCCGAGAAGCCCTCATTTGGCTCCTGACAGGTTACCTCAAGATCACAGGTGGTGACCTCGATCTACGTGTTGTAGGAGTACTATGCGAAGAAGGCCTCAGCCATTTCCTCCCAACTCCGTTTCACAGAGTCTTCCAGCTTTGCATATTAGATAGTCGCATTCTTAACAAGGATCAGCCGAAAAATGACAGCTTGTGAAGTTTGGTGAGGCCCATTAGCCGTAGGATGTCTGAGAATAACTGCGGATGGACCACAGGATCCCCAGAGCCATCAAACCGGTCTATGTGTTGCATCTTGAATCTGTCCGGCAGAGTTACTGCGGAGTTAGTGTATCCATCTTCGATGTTAGGGATTGAATTCACACCATGCCCGCTTGAAAAGCTTCTCTAGCTTGTTGACCTTCAGTGCAGTGGGGTCGACCTCGAATTCAAACGATGCCTCAGTTTGGTACACTGGTACCTTAAAGGCTTGCGGTGGGATGAGGTCTACCGGGTTGCCCAAATTCTCTTGGACATTGACAGTGATTCCAAGTGCTGCGATGCCTACTGGTGGTGCTTGGGAAGCAGAAGTCGTTGCTTGCTGTGGTTACTGTTGCTGCTGTTGTTGCAGCCTATTTATCACTTCTGCTTGGTGGCTGTAACTTTAGCTTGGCGGGTAGCATCTAGTTCCATGGTTTCAATGGTTTGCTAGAGATGATGAAACATGTTTTCCATGCTAACCGGGGGATGTTGAGCCATCAGAACTGGCGAATAATTTCTTATTAGAGTGGAAGTAGGAGACTGAGCTTAACTGGGCACAGGTGAAGTAAAAGGTGACTGCTGGACTGGTGAATTATACCTAATCCTCCTCCGTCTAGTAACCGGTGGGAGCAAAGCAAACACTGGTTGTCCCATAACAAGATCCTCGAATTTGTAAAGTCTTCTTACACGGGTCCAGAGTGCGTGGGGAGTAATGGACTATCCGAAGCAATTATGATAAACTACCTTGCAAAAAGAAATAAAGCAAAAAGAAAGTGAAAATCAAAAACCGCACAGCACCTCAGCTCAGATGTGAACAAGACACAGTTGTAATCATAAGTTGTAGAACTACACTCAACACTGATTTCTGCCTCCAAATCTGATACCCAAACTTGCAACTGATACGTACATTCCTGTAAAGTTTCACTCTAAAAGCACATACCAGTTAAGTGAGAGCCAAAACACCTCTATAATGGAGTAGGGCTACACTGTCCTAGTTTTGTTAGGAGCTAGGGTTCTCTATTCAAGCAAGGTGGTTTCACACAATCCTGTATTCGAGTGAGCAACCTGTCCTAGTTTGGAACAGTCTCTATGGCTTTCAATATGCAACTAGGCCGATTGGTCTAAAAGGGTACCTCAACAAGACTACCTAATATACCTCTCACACCTAACACCGAGAAGTGAAAGGAGGATCAAACGGTACAGCAGTAGTCCAGATCCAAGGGTTGTGTTCCCACCGTGGCAGAGTCCGTAATCGGTCAACCTTTTGGCAAGCTTTTCCAGACGAGCCTTTGGCAAACCGTCCAGGAATAGCAAATGGCAAACACAGTGACTTAGGTGTACTAATGCAAATGCAAATGCAAAGAAACACATAAGTGTAGAAAAAATATCATATCATGAGTTCAAGTCAAGTTCTCTAAATCCCAGCAGAGTCGCCAGGAACTGTAGCCTGACTTTTTCGTCCCCCCTTTCAGAAGGTTTGAAAGAAAGCCCTACAGTTAAAACTCCCGCGGTTCTGAATCTAATCTCACAAGTGCAAGGTGAAATTAATAAACACCAAAGAGTCCAGATCCGACAAATCTTTGGGAAAATTGATTTTAGGATAAAAAAATGTCAAAATTGGACTGCTTTGCCACATACAGAGTCGCCACCTAAATGTTTTATTTTGGAAAAAGTTAGAAAACCCATGACTCGTGCCAAATACCACGTGTCCGTCATCACCAAAGTTTCCTCAACTCGGGAACTTAGGTACGAAAGGGGAAGGTCATGAATTGAGCACCCCCACTCGCCCGATCAAAGATCAGCCTCTACTAATCATGATATGATTTTTTATCAACATTATGTGTTCTTATTCCGGTTTATTTAGGCTAGCATTACTATGTGATGCGTACAAGCAAGTATAGACTAGTTTGCTCGAATTGGAACAATTCAATTTCATGTTTGTTTTTCAAAAAGAATTTAATTTTGCCACCTCAAGTAGGTTTAACGTTTGCAAATTTGTCACTCAACAAAGTGGGCTTAAAAACGTACACTTATTGAATCATTCCAATTCAAGCAACAAGCCTTCATCCACAAGCATTCAAATAGTTTAGCAAGTAAGCATTTAGCCTCATGGCAAGCATGCTAGTCATAGCAACATTCACACACATGCAAGTATGCTAAATCACTAAAAACTTATCTAGTACTCCAAGCCAAAAAGATATGAGTTAGAAAAATATGCATGATTCCTAACTGTACAATATGTCTAATGCAACGCATGCAATAATATAACTAATAGGCTCGGCTACTAAACATGACATATGAGTCAATCAAATAATATGCAGTCTGAGCACGTATTCAACGAAGTATTGAAATGACAATGCAGTTTGAATGATGTGCCAAGCCTTGGTGCATGCAATACAAGATGAATGGATGCAAGCATGAGGTATGCAAATTGAAACATGATGCTCCTAATCTAACCATCAAAAGCGGATAAATAAAATGGAGAAAGATGCGGGGTTGGAAAACATACACATTAATACATCATTTTGCTCTCACAAAAGAGAGTCTGAATGAATAAAGCTAACTAGCTAACTAAGCTATGCTACTTAAGCTAATTATGCTAAACTAATTAACTAATTATTACAACAACAGATGAATTAATTAGTTAACTAACTAATTAAATAATTTACAAAACAATTGCAACTAATAATTAAGTAATTAAACTAAGCTAATTAGTTGTTCTGCCTCGGGAAATGAAAGACGTGTATGCGCGTGCTCGGTTTCCACCTGAAAAGGCCATCACTTGGCTCTCAAAAGCCTCTGTTTGCACAATTGAACATTTCCATAACCATTTTGCTCTACCTTACCAGCACTTTGCTAAGGTTTGCATCAGTGGCCAGCCAACCACTGGTGAATATTGCCGGCCACCTGCCGGCCATCAATGGTGCTCTGTCGGCCACCTACCAGCCATGGAAAGTGGCCTGTTGGCCATTGATACACTGGTTCATCTTGCTGCAATAGAGGACAAATAGAGCAAAAAGTGGGTATTCTCACATGTTGTTTGCACAACTCACCCATTCTTTTCATGAACAAATCCAAGGAAAGGCGAACTTAAGCCACAAACCACCAACTTAAGCAATTTCATTACATTATGGCTTGTGATTCAAGAAGTGCAAGTTCAATAAATGTAAAATGAGACACAAAACATCCTCCCTTTCATGAAAGATCAAAGGAAGAAGTTGACCTTGGAGACTTGGATCATTTCATCACTATCAACTATGAAACAGCCCAAATTCCATGTGTTCAATTAACGTCCGAATGAACACACCAAGTTATTATCTTGCTCATCTTTTAGTCCCAAGTTTTAGTTTCTCATTTTACTTTACCAACCATTCTTTAATTCAATTAAGTCCAAAGGTGAATTAAAGTCCTCTAATGGAAAGAGAGCTCAAAACACAAGTTGCTTTGGGTATGAAAGAAGTATCATACCGTTGGTAATGAACCTCCTAAGGGATTAAATCATTAAGTATGAAACCTCAATTCGATACTTAGGCAAACAAGTGACTTGAAACCACTTTCAAAGCAAAATTAAAAGCCAAGAAATGAGGGAGGTTGCAGAGATGATTAGTGCTGAAATTAAGTGTGAAAAGAACCGAAAACATGCAATCAACTCAAACAAGTGGTTAGTGGGAAGTTGACTCATGGGTTAAAGAGACAGAGTGTTTGCCTTCTCTCCAGAAACTACCTCAGTTTCTAGGGTTTTCAACTCCTCTTTGATGATGGCCGATCCTTTCTCTAATGCTATGTTCTCTACCTTAGTGAATGCAAGTGTGTCAACGTTTGACTCTCCCCAGTTGTTGGTTAGAAATGAGGTGAAATGGATTGATAATACCCAGAACGGTATCGTTAATCTTTTTAAAAATGATTTGTCAACTCTCGTGGAAATAGCTCAGGGAAGTGGGGGTTTGGAGGACAAGAAATCGAAGGCCATTTAGATCTTACCAATCGTCTTCTTTCATTGAAAAGCAAACTCAACCTAGACGGGTCCTCTGTTGCATCCGATGGTCTGAAATCGGCCGTAGCTGGTCCACGGAGGTTTGAGAATGAAGAGATAGATTTGCAAATTCCTTCTAGATGGAGCGATTTGGTTAAAACAGACTCAAAGTTGGCCTCTCAAGTTGAAGTACCTAGCAGTTCTAGTGGGTTAAGAGAGATTCAAGAACGTAGGGTGGATGTTTCAAGCACAACCCTTAATCTGAGCCAACCTCTCAAGCTAGGTGGAAGGTTATGGATCTTATCATGGAGGGCGTGGCAGAGGGGGTAGGGGCAACCCTAACCAATCGGGTTTTGTTCGTAGAAGGTTGATACAATTCCAAAGGAATGAGACAGACTAACCAAAACTTGGGCAAATGTGGCAACGATGCCAAGTAGATCTCTAATTAAGCTCAGGTATATTCTTCTCCTGCCTTCAGATGATCCAAATATAGTGGAATTGCCCCCTCGTAATGAGGGTTTGGGAAAATGGGAATCCTGTTTAGTGGGTTATTTTTTGGATAAAAAACTACCTTTCAACTATATAAGAAATAGTACTTTCAATCAGTGGAAAAACATGGGGTTGAAAGAGGTTCAAGCAAATGGTGATGGCTTTATGTTCTTTATTTTTGACGATATGGACGCCTGTGGGAGGGTCCTAGAAGAAGGGCCTTGGTATATGGGTAACCAACTGCTACTTCTAAAGAAGTGGAAAAGAATGATGAGACTTACTAAGGAACATGTTTCACAAATTCCAGTTTGGATTAAATTGTTTAATGTCCCTATGGAATATTGGGACTTTGAAAGGCAGAGTAGAATCTCTAGTAAAATTGGACTCCCATTATTTATGGATCATCTTACTTCCACTGGGAGTACAGTATCCTTTGCAAGGGTGTGTGTGGAAGTTAATGTTGACTCCCCTTTACCTCAAAACTTCTTTGTTAAGTGTGAGGATGAAGTGGTGGAAATAAGAGTGGAATACCAAGGCACACCTGCTAAATGTGAACATTGTAGAGTGTTTGGACATGACACCAAAAATTGTATTTCAAATCAAGTGGCACAATTGGTCAAAATGCAAAAAGTAACTGAAGAGGATAAGAAAGATGGATGGAAAACTATTAAGTCCAAAGGGAAAAAGAAGATTGGGAACCAAATGAAAGAGAGGGCAGTCAAGGGGGTGATACCCTTCAAATAGAACCACCACAACATAGAGAGAGCCTTGTGCTTGGGGTCTTATTTTATTTTCTTAAGCTTTTGGCTTTATGTATATTGGTGTATGTGACTGCTATAGAAAAACATAACATTGATTGGCTTATTTTGTGTGTGCTTCTGAACTTGGTTATGGAGGCAGCCAGTATGCTAGTTTTTTTGCTAAGAGATTGTTGCTAATAGATTTTCTACCAATATGGCAACCAGTATGCTAACAGATTTGTGACTGCTTTGATAGGCTTGTTTTGTTTGTGCTAGCTAGTTATATATTAGCAGATATGTTTTAGTTGGTATATTTTGTATAGCTTTGTTAGGGCCTGGGGTATTCCCCTGTTTATTCTTGTAAGTTTTCTTGTTTTATTTTATGACTTATTCACCTAAAAAAAAAAAAAAAAAAAACTCAAACAAGTGGTGTCGAAATGCCTAAAACACCAAACTTGTGAGGACTATTACACTATAACTATGCAATATAAGACTCAAAGGTAACAATCAACCCAAAATAGAGTTAAAACAGTCCAAAATAAAGCCTAAAGCATGCTGAAATAAAGCTACAACAAGCTAGAAAAATAAGTTAATGCATGGCACCAACTAGGCTAACAAACAAGATGCAATGAGCGGAGGCTAACCCCTCCAAATTTGGACTTCAAAACTTGATTTTTACCACTAAAAATACTATGAAAATCAGTGTTTAAAAGCTTGGAAAAAGATAGTTTGAAAGTGGGAAACATGAGTGGAAAAGCCTTGCAAACAAGGTACAAAAAAGGGTGAACCACCCCCTACCTTAAAATGTTTTAAGACCAAAGATTTCAGCCCCATTTGACAGAGTTTTTATAGCCCAAAAACAATCAAAAAACAGTGGAAAAAAGATGGAAAAACAAGTATGCAAAATAAGCTAACAAAGCTAGTATTATACCTTTTGAAGAGAAAAGTAATTCTAGGCAACAATTCCAAGCAAATACACCTTCTAGAGCTCAAACCAAGCTCAAGAACACCTCAGCTCAGAGATGAGAGGGTTTGGCTAAGGGTGTATAGGCAAGAGTGTAGTGTAAGTAGGCAAAAGTGTAGAGAATTTGTGGAGAGTGAGAGAAAGAGAAATGTAGAGAGAGAGGAAAAATTTTTAGTCTAAAATTTTCTAACCTCAAAATATGAGAGAGGGGGTCCCTATATATAGAAAACAAAAAATTTCTACAAGGAGATCCAGCCCTTCAAGTGTGGACAGATGCAAGCATTTGTACAAACAGCTAGCAAAGCTGGCATAAAATATCTACAGAAAATACTGGTAGCTGGCAGGCCATCACTGGTGGCCGGTAAGCCACATCAATGGCCGGCACACCAAAAGTGATGCCCGGCAGCCTCTAGGGATGGCCGGCAGGCCACTAGAGGTTGCAGGCTGGAAAAACCAATGCATGGTCCAAAAATGAGACAAAATGAATGTAGGGTTTAAAAGGCACAAAGTTGTGGCGTTCTGCTGAGGACTTCAAGTACTTGGCGAGTAAACAGACTCATCAACGGATGTACCTACAAGGACATCCAAGTCTTGAAGGGCCGTAAAAAATAGGGTGTCTACAGAATGTTACGTTTGGAAAAAGTACACTGAGAATTTTGTGTGTTACATTGAAGTATTACATTTTTTTTTATGTTACATTGGAGTATTACGTTTGAAAAAAAGTACACTAAGGCCTCGTTTGGGAACAAGCTTTTTAGTAATTTTTTGCCTTTTTGGCTAAAATATGATGTAAAAAAAAATTAGTATGTTTTGAATGAATTTTTAGTTTTTTTTTTAAAAGATGTGCAAAAAGTAGAGAGAAAATAGAATCTTTGACTTTTTGGTATAAGTTGTTAGCTTAGTGGTTTTTTTAGTAACTTTTTGACCTTTTGACTAAAATTAACATTTGCCAAACGAGGCCTAAGAATTTTTTTTTTTTTGAAATGTTATGTTTAGTAATTTCAACGTTATGAGAAAATTCACATTTGTCCCTAAACACATAACACACGCATTTATACTTGACAATTCATGTAATACACATTAGAATGAGACTTTTAGATCTATAAAAAAATAAATCAATAAATAAAAGATCAAACAATTCATAAGATCACAATTTCTTAATTTTATGTCAGTAAATTTATTAATTATATCAATTAAAATATTGTGTACTTTATTTATTTTTTAATGTTTTGTTTAATCAGTATGTTTATTGGTATTTATGGTAACAATTTTGACGGCTAGGATCTATTACGAATTTGGTTTGACGGATGAGGAGGCTGGCTAGGTTGGTAAATATGTCAACAGTTCGGACCAAGTAACAATTCAGTTTGGCAAACATGTACCGACTAGGGGTGGGCAGCGGATATACCGATCTGCTAAAACTGACCGAACCGAACCGATCCGCCGCATTTTGGATGGATGCGTGATGACGAGCAGACGGTTGCGGATTGATTTTCTCCAATCCGCTAATTTGGCGGACGAATGGCGGATTTGAGGTTCCTTTGGCCGCAACCGAACCGCCAAATCGCGAGTACCCTTAGTAATTTATAAGATTTTGTGTTTTCAATTTGTTTAAATATTTTGTCTGTGTTTTCAATTGAAAAAGAGTTCAAATATTCTGTTGAAAAAAAATTTTCAACTTGAATATATTTTTTGAATTGAAAAAAATAAACGTATTATTTATGTATATTTTTTGATTTTTAGATCTAACTCTAAAAGTAATAAATAGAAAATATGAAATATGCTGGTTGGTTTTAGTTTTCAAAACATATATAAATGTAACAATACAGAGACATACAATCTCAACTATTGCTCTGTTCATGGTTTTTGTGGTTTGAATTGTTTTTATATTTGAAGAACCACAGATTGTAATACTTTATGTAGATGAGGCATGCTGTGATTGTAATATGTGGATGAGGCATGCAGTGATTGTGATATTCTATAGTTTCAAACTTTCTTTCTTTGGATGAGGCATGCAATAATTGTAATACTTTTTTAAGTCATTGACTGTAATACTTTTTTTTTTTTTGAGGAAGTGCACAAATTGAATTATGTTGAAAATTTATAAAATTTCAAACCGCTAAACCGATTCGCATCCATCCGCCAAACCGCCAATCCGCTCAATCCGCATCTACCGGATTGGCGGACGGATGGCGGATTGGAGGTTTCGTGGCCGCAACCGACCCGCGCCCACCCCTAGTACCGACGATTGAGTTTTTTTTGAATATTTAAGTTCGTTGAGGAAGAATTTTTTTAATCTAATTTTCTTTTTAAATAATTTAGTTTGGTTAAATTAGTTTTATTTGATTTTTTTTTTTATAAAAGAAGAAGTAAAATGATTATAATTTGAATGTGACATGTTAGTTTATTTTGAAAAATAGGTAAAAAGCCTTTTTTTTTTTTGTGCCTTTTTTTTGAAAAATATATATAAAAAAATAAACAGGTAACGTGATTCAAAAAAATTAAAAAGTCAAAAAATTAACTTCCAACCCAATCACCAAAATAAACTTTTATTTAACGTATTTTATTTTTTATACTTTTTTTATCCCAACACAAATCCAACCCACTTGCCAGAGGACAGTTAAGTTGAACCGGTCATTACCAAATTTTTTAATTTGGGGTCTTGTCTTTGGGGATGGAGAAATAAGAAGAAAAAAAAAAACACTAATTTTTAAATATTTTTTTAACATTGTTATCATTTTTTGAGATACTTTTTTTTTTAATTATAGAAATTCAATACTAAATAATGTGTAAGAAATACTTTTTTAATATTTTCCTTCTAAATTTGATAAAAATTTAAATAAATAAATAAAACAGATCCAGCTTATAATTATCAATACACAAGAAAATAAAAGGAAAAATTAGTCATGTGACGCCCCCAAAATCGAGAACATCAGAGAATATAATAACAAATAAATACAGGATTTATCTAAGATTACAAAATATGAAACGTCACTAATGAGTCATTTGATCAATAATTAAGTAAAATCTTAGGCAAGATCAGAGGAGTCAAACTTACCTCCCTTCAAAGTCCAATCTCCTTAGATAGCAAAGCTACATTTTTTACAGATCTTATTAATGTATTAACATAAGGTCTAAATGAGTTGACGGAAAATAAGAAATAGGTAATGTAAAAGATATGTATAGATATATAATAATTACAAAATCAAGTCCTAAATACAACTTGGGATCTATCACTTACAATCTCACAATACGTTTACAAACTAGTTTCCAATCCTCTTAGGGTAGCCGTACGTCCTCAAATGCCTCAACTTTTCCTTCAATGGGTCTAAAAGTCTTTAATACCTAGTATGAAATGTCATGAGCTTTGAATACCCAGTAAACACACACACACCTCATCCTTTTTTCCTAATCCAATACAATTATAACAAGTAAGTAAAAAAGCAAGATAATAATTCAATAATAAAGGATTACAAGGTTAGATGTTAGTAATCTAGACCGCAAGAATTGGACTCGGATTATTCGGTATGCCACCTCTTTTGCTACTTTGCAGACCTTACCTCGGATGCCTACCAACAGTTATATACCGCGTAACGCTAACCGAGGACTTCAAAAGAGATGGTAAAATAAGGGCTTTGCCCATTACCTCCTCCAACCTATCCACCTAGGGTCCGAATACAACTGATCCATTCAAGGGTTCCGATACAACTGCTTGCACAAGACTTTCCTTCAAATAGGGAACACATCCCCATCAATCCATAACACATTATCATCTCTTCATTATTCAAGTGATTGAAAACCAAATACCATCCCAATTAAGTTTCTCATTAAGTTACATGTCTTAAGTTAGTTAGCATAAGCAATTGAAATAAATTTTCATAGATATAAGCATCATCAAGGAAAAAACTACATAACCATACCAAGACATGATTATACATAAGTAAGCATATTCGTAAAGTCAAGAGCACAAAACATCAATATAAATAGAATTTCCATATTCAAAGGCACTTAAAGATCAAGATTAAAAGGATTATTTTAGA